TTTGGTCTTTTTGAGACAGGGTCTCCCTGTAGCCCCAGCTGTCCTGGAACTCACTATGTAGACCAGGCTGGCCTTGAACTCACAGAGATCTGCCTGCCTCTGCCTCCTGAATGCTGGGACTACAGGCGTGTGCCACCACACCTGGCTCATTCACTATCTTATGTGGAGGGTAAGGAGGGGTCCTGAGGGATCACAGAGCACATGGCTCAGTGAGCTCATTCACATTATAAACAGAAACTTTTTGGTTGCAAGATTACGTCAAAGTCTTTAGTCCAGATTATGTCCATGTTGTAAGTCATTCCTACAAATATACAAAAGCAATTTGAAGTTGAGCTCCTCAAAGATCTGTTTGGTAGCACTATTATCAGGATAAAGATGGTTAGTAGGATGTTATTCTATCTACATAAGAAATTATAAGGGCCTAAAAGTTAGAGGAGACACTGAGTAGAGGAAAAGTAGAGAGGTGAGAATTTGTACATGCTGGTCAGCAGGGCAAGCTGATGTCACTCACAGATACATAAGAATTAAATGAAATAGCTGGGCTTGGTGGCGCATGCCTTTAATCCCAGCACTTGGGAGGCAGAGGCAGGTGGATCTTTGTGAGTTCGAGGCCAGCCTGGTCTACAAAGCAAGTTCCAGGTCAGCCTGGGCTACAGGGAGACCCTGTCTCAAAAAGACAAAAAAAAAAAAAAAAAAAAAAAAGAAAAAGAATTAAATGAATTAATATATGAAAAGTATTCTCAACAGAGACTGGCAAATGTTAAGTGCTAAGAAATATTAGATGATACTGTGACCATTATATTAAAGAAAAAAAAGTGGGGATCAAGATCAAATATGTTCAATAGCAGAAAAGAATGCTGCCTTTATGAATAAATTTTTCATGCTTTCCTTTCATGTTTATCATTAGAAAAATATAATGTTGGAGCTAGAGAGCACTGGCTGCACTTGCAGAGGATCTGGGTTCCATTCCCAGCACGTACATGTTGGCTCACAACTGTCCATAACTCCAGTTCTGGGGATCTGACACCCTCTTCTGACCTCCAAGGGCATTGCACGTCTGGTACACCTACCTACATGAAGGCAATACACTCATACACATGAAATAAAAATAATCAATCAAATATTTTTAAAACATACTGCCAAAGCTGGGTGTGATGGCGCAGGCCTTTAATCCCAGCAAAGGCAGGCGGATCTCTGTGAGTTCAAGGCCAGCCTGGTCTACACAGTGAGTTCCAGGACAGCTGGGGCTACAGGGAGACCCTTTCTCAAAAAACAAAGCAAAACAAAACAAGGATCCTGTGTGTGTGTGTGTGTGTGTGTGTGTGTGTGTGTGTGTGAGAGAGAGAGAGAGAGAGAGAGAGAGAGAGAGAGAGAGATGAATTTAAATTCTAGTTGTTTCCGAGTTGGTGATACGTCCCTTATCAAGGACGAAGAAGGAGACAAATAAAAAGAGCCCAGTCCTACCTTCTTTGAAAAGAGTGAAGACTCCTTGTTTGTGTGAGTTGAGTTCCAGGGGCAGCTGAGAGCAGTCTGTGAATGCGATAGCCTCTTTGCTCTCCTCATTTACGTGATACATGGCAATGGGGACCTCGATAACCTGGCTAACTGCCACATCAGCATGGAACGGTAGTAGTTCCATTTTGTTCAGTTTCATGACATACATCTGGAGGAAAACCAATTAGTCTTTAGGACGGTCCTAGATATTTAAACACGTACACAAACGTGTTGTGTGTATGCATGTATGCATATAGAATACATAAATAAATAAATATGTATGTTTGGTGTGGTGGCACCTGGCTGTAAGTCTAGCCCTTTAGAAGCTGAAGTTGGAGGACAGAGATTCAAGTTCAGCCTGGGCTGCATAGCACGATCCTGTCTCAACAACCAAATATATATATATTTACATATATATATACCAAATATATATATACCAAATATAATATATATACATATATACACAGTTTTTAACATTTTAAAAATATTTTATTTATTATTTTTATTTTATGTATATGAGTGTATTGCCTGCATGTAGGTTAAGTGCACCCATATTGTGCAATGCCTGCAGAGGACAGAAGAGGCCACCGGATACCTTGGAACTGGAGTTACAGACAGTTGTTAGCTGCCATGTGGGTGCTGGGAGTCGAACCTGTGTCTTCTGCAAGAACAGTCAGTGTTCTTAACCACTGAGCCATCTCTCCGGCCCCAGTTTTTAACATTTTAAGGGATTTTAAAGTCAGAACAACAACGGCATTAAATAAGAGACAGAAACACCAGCTGGAGCTACATAGAGAGACCCTGTCTTAAATCAAGCAAACAAACATTTTAAATAAATAAATAAAAATAAAAGAGTTGGGGATGTTGCTTAGTGGTAGAGCACTTAGCTAATATACCAGAGAACTCATGTTCAGTCTCCAGTAACAGACACAACATGCATGCATGCATGCACATGCACATGTGTAGGGTATGTCTCATGCAAAAAGTTATGTATTTACTATCTAGCCCTTTATAGGCAAAGTTTGCTGACCTCAGACTTAGAGGTCCCTTTTTTGTTGTGTGTGCATGTGTGTATGTGTGTGTGTGTGTGTGTGTGTGTGTGTGTGTGCCTGTGCATGTCCGCGAGTGGATTAAACCCTGGGTTTTGAACAGCTAAACATGCTCTACCACTTGCTTCACCCCAGCCCATCCTCTTTTCTTTTATTTGAGATACAGTTCAGTGTCCTGTAGCCAGAGCAGACCTTGAACTTGCTATGTAGGCAAAGCTGGCTTTGAATTCCCAATTCTCCTGCTTCTACCTCTTGAGTGCTGGGACGAAAGACATACATTGCCATGCCTGGCCTGGTCTATATTCCAGGTCAGTTGGAGCTACAAGGAGACCCTGTCTCAAAAAAAAGGAAAAGAAAAACCCATAAAAATACTATGTGTAGGGGCTGGAGAGATGGCTCAGCGGTTAAGAACACTGGTTGTTTTTGCAGAAGACCCAGGTTGGAATCCCAGCCACCCACACGGTAGTTAACAACTGTCTGTAACTCCAGTCCCAGGGGATCCGACAGCCTCTTCTGACTTCCAAGAGCACTGCAGGACAAGAGTGCACTTACCTACATGCTGGCAATACATGCATACACATAAAATAAAAATAATAAAAAAAATTTTAAATTATGTATATAAAAATAGTTGGGTTTTTTCCCAGTCTTTTTTTTTTGGGGGGGGGTGTCTTTTTGAGATAGCATCTCCCTGTAACCCCAGCTGGCCTGGAACTCACTAGGTAGACCAGGCTGGCCTTGAATTCACAGAGATCCATCAGTCTGCCCCTGCCTCTTTCTCTAGTGCTGGGATTAAAAGTATGTGCCACCATACTGGCAAAAATGATTTTTAAAAATGGCTTAGAAGGCCAGGAGGGGGTGCACACCTTTGATCCCAGCACTCAGGAGGTAGAAGCAGGGGAATCTCTGTGAGTTCAAGGCCAGCCTAGTCTACATGGCTGGTCTGCATGTTTGTCTCAAAAACAAACAAGAAAACAGAAAAGAAAAAAGGAGGAAAAATGGCTAGGGCTGGGCTGGGAATATGGTTTTAGGTGGAAAAGAGCTTGCCTTAAAAGTGTGAGGACCTGAGTTTAGATCCCCAAAATCCACATAAGCACCAGACAAAGATGGAAAATCGGGGCCTTGAACATACTAGGCAAGTACTCTACTACAGAGTTACATCCCCAGGCCATTAACTGCATTTTAGAGATGAGAAAGCAAGCACAGATTTTAAATACATGGCTTTTTTTTTTTTTTTTTTGGTGGGGGTGGTCTTTCTGAGACAGGTCTCCCTGTAGCCCTAGCTGGCCTGGAACTGGCTATGTAGACCAGGCTACCCTCAAACTCACAGAGATCTGCCAGCTCTGCCTCCAGGAGTGCTGGGATTAAAGGTGTGCGCCACCACACCTGGCCTCAAATACACAGCTCTTAAGTGAAGCAAGAATTAACTCAGGTTCAGAAATGCCTAAGGAATATGTACTTCCTGACTGAATCTGCATAGCATCTTTATTTTTGAGACAGGGTCTCCCATAGCCTAGGACAGTGCTGAACTTCTAATCTTCCTGCCTCTACCTCCTGAGTGCTGGGATTACAGGCATGGCCACCACACTGTGACAGGGATGGAACCCAGGGCTTCATGTGTGCTAGGCAAGCACTCCAATAACTGAGCAACATCCCCAGTCCTTGGGTAACATTTTTAAATAATTGAGTTGGACTAGAAGTATTTTCAAACATGTTTCTGTACTTAAATTTAGACAGCAGTTCAACAAGTTATTTAAAAAAAAATTAGGCAGTAGTGTTTCACAGGGCTGCTTCTGAAGAGACACTTACCTGAGTTTCCCCATAGCGAGAGGGATTTTGTACATCTCGTGCCAAGATGGTACTGTTCCCCCTCACCTGGCCTGCGCTTACCACTCCTTTGGTGGTGACCATGGCCACTGTTTCATTAGAAGAGGTCCAGGTGAAGTTGCCACTACCACCCTCTACCTGTGAGAAAGCACAACTTATGTTGAACTAATCTAGGAGAAAAATGGAATCTCAGTGAAAATGTAAAACTTGACTGACTGAGTTTAGGAAATAATAAAACTATATAACAAATTATCTCCGCACATGTTCAAGAAGCTGTGAAACTCCAGAAAAGTGGAGAACTGAGTAAGAGAAACACTAAAAGGAGGTTAAGGAATGGTAGTACCATAGGTCATAGTACCATAGGTAGTACCATAGGAGCATTAGGGAACATGAGAACTCACAAGGAAATGATGTATGGAAAGGACAGAAATCACACCAGGTCTTAGGTTTGGCAGCAGTCACCAAACACAGGGTTATACTATTAAGTTTGAGGAGGAATAAAATTTAACAATCAAATATCAATAAATCTAGGGCTAGGAATGTAGCTCAGTTGGTAGAGTGCTCGTCTAGCACACATGAAGCCCCGGGTTCAATTCCCAGTGTTGTACAACTGTAACCCCAAGAGGTGGAAGCAAGAGAATCAGAAGTTTGAGACCATCTTTGGCTACATAGTGAGTTCAAGACTAGCCTGAGCTACATCTCAAAACTTTTTCAATAAATTAACCTATTATATAAACTGATTTATTTCTGTGTGAATTCTAATATTAGAGGATGCCATACCTGTACTTTGTAACGATTTAACATTCCCAGGGGATGGTGAGGAAATGCCAGAAAGCTGGGTTTAAGTTTAATGGGAAAATAAATCTTCACCTCTTGCTGATGTCTGATTTGGTATTCTTTAGCCTGAGCACTGGTACTCTATAGAAGCAAGAAAAAAAGAACAAAATAGATCTTGTGAGATAGTTTCATTTGTACTGAAAACATGAGCAAAATGGTATGCTGGTGAATTACTCTATCACTGTTATTTTTTAATTTTTATTTTATGTGTATGAGTGTTTGCTTGCATATATGTATGTGACTGGTGCTCATGGAGTCCACAAGAGGGCTTCAGATCCCCTGGAACTGGAGTTACTAATGGTTGTGAGCTGCCATGTGGATGCTGGGGATCAAACCTGGGTCCTCTGCAAGAGCATCCAGCCTCACTATAACTTTTTCTACATATAAAAAAAATAGGCCGGGTGTGGTGGCACATGCCTTTGATCCCAGCACTCAGGAGGCAGAGGCAGGCAGATCTCTGTGAGTTCGAGACCAGCCTGGTCTCCATAGCGAATCCAGGCCAGCTAGGGCTACAGGGAGACCCTGTCTCAAAAAGACCAAAAATAAATAAATATGTAAATAAAGAGCTGGGAGTGGTGGACAGGCCTGTAATCATAGCACTTGGATTTCAGGGCAGGGAATCAGGAGTTTAAGGCCAGTTGGGGTTACATGAGACTCTGTCTTATAAAAGAAAACAAGAAAAATAAAGAAATATTCATACTCTTTAAAGAAGCACAGCTACCATGGTTCAATATAATGAAAGGGATTCCCTAGGCCTACACTAAGCATTACAATAGAGAAGATAGTGAAAAGCTCTCTGAGATAAGAGTTTTACTAATATAGGAAAGGGAGTTGTGGTTTCAGAAAGAAAGGCCCTTAGACATCTGTCAGTTACATCTAGAAAGTATGAAGATAAAGGAGTATTTTAAATCAGAAGAAAAACATTTAAAAGTGCTAGCATGCCCATCAGAACTAGATCATAAGACCCTATTTGCTAAAGATACCACACTTTGGATGTAAGACATAAAGAAATCAAACTGGACCAGATGTGGAAGCTTCTTCCCTACTAGCTAGCTTTCAGTGCCAGAAATTGCTATGCAGGCCGCTGGAGGAGAAAAGTCATCAACAGTCATACCTAGCTGTGATCCTTACTTGTTACATACACTGCTACCCTACCAGACAAGATGTGTCCACTGATGCAATAGTGGCATGACTGTTAGGAAAGTGAGGCCTGCTCCACAGAAGGGAGTTCATGCTCCATACTGTGATTTGGTTAGTGATCCATGACTGGGGCGTTCACTGACCCAAGAGTTGAACCTACTAGGTAGGCATCCTCGAGCTGAGAAACGCTGAGCGCACTGGGAAAAGGGGAGGGGAAAATTTAGTGCCTGCAGGATGGCGCTAGAAACGAAAACTTCAGGAGCTCAGGAAAAGCAGTGCGGTTAGTAGTGGTCACATGGGTTATACATCAGGATCTTGAAATATGTAACTAAAATGATGCCGGCCACGAAGATGCAAGCAGACTCAAAAGGGGAAACCCCTGGGTCACTGCCATCTTGTGAATATGGGAAAATAGCTCAGTGATTTGAGAAATGGGGGCCACGGCCACATGTGTCTGAAAACTTTTTTTTTGCCATGAGGTGTGTTTTATTTTCATTAATCATACAAATAAATTTTCTATAACATCCCAGGGCAAACCAGTGAAATTTGACAGTCCGATTGGGGAGGGGTCTCCCTTCAGAGACGCGCGGGCCAGTGGCATTGAGGCGGAGTGCCAGGGTTCACAGTGCAGCTTGTGGCGTCCATCTTTCAGGTGGCTCTTCGTCCACATCACAGGGGTCTTGGAAGAAAGATGCCGGGGTGGGGGGGTGGGGGGAATCCTCCAGTCTAGGTTTTTAGGAAATTTCACTCCACTTTTCCTGCTCAATGGTCTCTTTGGTCGGCAGGGTGTTCTTTTCTTGCATCTCGGTTTTCTTCAGCTTGGCCTTATCGAAGCTGGTGATTTCTCCCATGTCAGGCTTGTCTGCCATCTTCTTACAACAATCCATAGAGTCCCACTCTGAGCCCACGCTCCTGGTGCTCCTACTCGAGTTGCTGCAGCAAGAAGACCCTGTCTGAAAACTTTAAGGATTGTGGAGAGCCTAAATAATTTTACAAGCCTTGGACACAAGAGGGGAATCCAGAGAGATGGCCTGGTCACTTCTTTGCATAATTAAAGATTTGTCCACTGCAAGGGCAACGGCCCCAGTGGAGGCTGAAAAGACTAAGGAGTTACTGACAAATTCAGTCTCAGCCTCAGAGCTTAAGAGAGGGAAAAAATGGGAGATTTTAACTTGCTTAAATTTAGGGGACCAGGAATCAAAGGACTCAGGGAAAAAGACAGTAATGAGAAAAGAAACGACTAAAAAATGAAAGTAGCTAAAGCTGTCCCTCAGATTCAACCTTTGATGCAAAAAAAGAAAAACGTTAACAGTGCTATAGCCAGCAGAAAATACTCCACACTGGAGCTGTTGGGACTAGGAAAGACTTTCAAACAAGCAATCAAAGAGCCCCTCACCACGTGGCTTGTGAGGATATGGGACATGGGAGCAAATAATATCAGTTTAAGTCCTTCAGAAGCATCACAGCTGAGTTATATAACCACCCATCTGTCCTTGAGACATAGGCTATTTAACCTAGGCCAATACAGGCAGGAGCAGTCCTCCGTGGAATGGCTTGTGAAAGGCATTAAAGGTACGTGGTCATCACCAATGGAGACTCCCATGATTAACAAGGACTGGAGGACCATAGAAGAGGGACAGGCATTACTGAGAGATATATGATTACATGATTCCCAGTCAGCTTGGCCAGATAGGGCTGTGTTCACCAGAAATATAAAGGAAAGCTTAATTCAACTGGGACCTCGAAAGTGGTATGGAGCTTTAATGGATTTGCTAAGTCCCTTAATGGGACAGGATCTTTGTAAAGTGAGGGAGGCTTTGGCAGATCTAAGTGACTCTAACCAGTTTGTAAAATGTGTCTCTAGAAGACACAAGAGATATAAAAAAGACCAGACAGAAGAAATGGTCTGTTTGGATTACTCAAAGACAAATGTGGCAAGATTTATGTCAAGCCCAAGTCCCTAAAGAAAAAATTGATAGAAAACAAAATTCAGTATTAAGGCTTTAAAACACAAAGAACAGTTCACAAAAGACATTCAGAGGATAAAAACTGTCCCTGGGGTGGTTAAGGGCCCCCAAAGATTAAATAAGGAACATTTCTCTCCTGAGAAAGGCTATGCTAGGGGTGGAGGCAGTTTTTTCCCATCAGGTCCTCCCCTAGCAGCTAGGTATGGTTAATGGAGAGGCAGCAGATATAGCCACAGCCAGGAGACAGACCCAAGGCCTGCCTGATTCAGGGAACCAACAGGTACGGCAGGGACAAGAGAGAACCTCTGCCGCCTTAGTCCAGTGCAGTGTCGGAGAACTTGAGCCAGCACCTGCAAATGTATCAAGGATAAAAGGATACAAAGAGACTCCATGTAAAACCCCCAGAATTCAGAATGACTCCAAAGGGATAAGCAAAGATAGTAAAGAACTAACCAAGTTAATGCCTCTTACTCCTGCTATGATACCCAACAGAGATCTATGGAGAAAGAAATTAATACAAATGGATAAAACCTGGGGCTGGAGAGATGGCTCAGTGGTCAAGAATACTGACTGTTCTTGCAGAAGACCCGGGTTCAAATTCCAGTACCCACATGGCAACTGTCTGTAACTCCAGTTCCAGGAGATCCGACAGCCTCTTCTGTCCTCCTCAGGCATTGCATGACATGGGTGTACTTACCTCCATGCAGGTATAACACTCATACACATAAAAACAATAAATAAAAATGTTTTAAAAAATATTTAAAAAACAAATGGATAAAACTTTCCATGCTGTGTTAGACCTTGTCTATGACTGATTTAATATATGATATTTAACCTTTTTTTTTTTTTTTGTCTTTTTGAAGCAGGGTCTCCCTGTAGCCTCAGCTGTCCTGGAACTCACTATGCAGACAAGGCTGGCCTTGAACTCACAAAGATCTGCCTGCCTCTGCCTCCTGAGTGCTGGGACTATAGGCGTGCGCCACCATGCCCAGCTGATATTTAACCTTTGAGTGTTTTACAGATGTGAGACCCATTTGGAAGATAACAAATACACCTGTAAAAACAAAGGTCCGCTATAGCTGTAAGATCCTTGGGAGCTTTATGGTTGGGTAAGACACAAGTGATACCCACCGGGATGATTGGGAAAAGCCTACAACACCTAATCCTGTATAAAAATAAAAACAAAGGCTCCCAGAGCTGTACAACTGTTAAGAAAAAATTACAGTACCAGGGGTGGGTTGCTCCCTTATGAGCTGTTGGCCAGAGAGATCCTAGAGGTCCTCGAATTAACCAAGGCTACTGTCACTAATGTCAGTTGTACACTACAAAAGGTTGGTAAGGCCGTGTTGCCGAAGACACTGCATGATGTGAACATGGGAGAAGGCGAGACGGAGCTGAGACTAAGCTGAAAACGCCATGCCACTGGATGGTTTGCTTTCATAGTGACAGAAGCTGCTATGCAGAGGGTTGGGGAAAAAAAAGGATCCCCTATGATTCTGCTCAAAAATGGGCCCTGTGTGCTGCACACTATGGACATGCCAAGCAATGCCTGCTGGTGCAATAATGGCTCAACTAACATACATACAACTAACAAATTTCTAATTGGATAAGGCCCACTCCTAGGGGTGGAACACACATCTGGTGCTGTAGAGTGGGCCAACCCCCTGTGTCAGGGAAGGCTAAAGGCCTCAGTGGGAAGGCCACTGCAAATACACTGTTTGATGAATATGATACCCCTACTGGGATATCTTCTAGGCATTTGTATTTACATCTGTGTTTGTTTAGATGTGTCTACTTCCTTCCATTTGTCATTATAGTAGGGGAAACACCACTGAGATGGATCAGCGGCCACATCTTGAAGACAAATGATGGAGAAGTCCAAGAGGTCAATATCTTGCCACAATACAAGAGAGATCATCCTGCATCTGTCACCCCCTCCAAAGCTTAGGGACCCTTGTGGAAGATTGGTGGAAAGATTTTGAGAGACAGAGAAGGGGTGGAGTGTTTGGTAAGTGTCCTCTGAAAAGCCAGATTTGAACAGGGGCAGGTCTAGAGACCAACACTGAGAGATGCTGAGCTGAGAAATGCTGGGCGCAATGGGAAAAAGGGGAGGGGAAAATTTAGTGCAACAGCACATATTAAATTACCCTCTAAATATTTATGTTTATTCTCATGGATTAGTAGTGCTCTCAGAAACTTTTGGTTTTGTTCTTGTTTTGTTTTTTTGCATTGAATGGAGGTTAATACAAAGACTTCTGGCTGGTAAAGGAGCTGGGCTGACTGTTGTGTGCTCAACCCCCAATGGGACATCCATACCACCTCTTCCAAGGCTCAGGAAACATTGCAGAAGAGGGAATGGAAGCAACCGAAAAGTCAGACATCAGGTACGAGGGCCACAAAACAGTGCCTTGTGGGCATGACATAGCTGTTATACTCATGAATCGTAGCAGCTGTGGTTGCCTGCATAAGGTCCGCACAAGACTGGGCACATTAACATTCAGTCACAGAGACATGGCTCAGCAGTTAGGAGTGCATGCTACTCTTGTAGAGGGCTCAAGTTTAGTTCCTAGCACCCATGTTTTCTGGCTCACAATTGCCTGTAACTCCAGCTCCAGGAGATCAGACATCTTCTGGCCTCCATGGATACCTGTACTTATGTACACGCTCCCACTCTCCCCTTAACATATATGTAATTTAAAAAATAATAAAATAAATCTTTTTTAAAAGCCCCTTATGTATACTCGATGACACATGGAAAAATATATATGAAAAAATTTCTTTTTTTTTTTAAGAATTTTTTTTTTTACTTTTTAATGCATTTATTAATTCTTCAAGAACTTTTTTTTACAATTAAAGTTACAGTTTTAACAATATGCAAAATATTACAGTAATTCAGATTTTTTGGCATAATGATTACAGATTTGATAAATACATTTTATATCTCATAATAGCGATGAGGATTATACAAAAGCTATTAAAACAATTATGAGAATAAATTCTATTGTCACTTAAGCATCTAAAGCTATTTTCCTTTGCGTTCTTCCAGAATGATTTGTTCTTCTTCTTTACGTTAATTTGAGGGACTTCAAGAAGATACTTTTTTTTTTTCATACAGAAGAATTCATTCCAAGGCAATTAACATTGAGACGTTTTCACATGCATTTCTAATCTCTATATACATGACTATCACTGGTCACAGTCGCCCACCTTCTGAGCTCCTCGGCATCTGAGCATGATTACAAACTCGTCAGATAGACAGCCTTCCTCTCCCACTAGAGGCTCCATACTCTG